TTAAGCTTTTTTTACCCGCTATTGTTCCTTTGTCTGAGGTTGCAGGCAGGTAGTCTTATAAAAATACGAGGGAAGCTGTAAGTGGCAGTCTACGTATAATTTAACTACCGGTATTTCGAATTCACTCTCCAAACTGTTTTTGAAATCTTTTACCAAAGCTGACGATTAGAGCCAGAATAACCCACCCCTCCTAGTAACTAATGTCACTAATATTTGAACTTGTATGAGCTGACCGTGACCCCATGTAGGTAGTTGGGGTGTTTGGCTGGGGAGGGGTGAGGGAGAACAAAAGTTAGGGTAGAGTTCAATCTATGACGTATTAGACTGGGCTACTGTGACCTCACAGTGACCCCTCCACGGCCTCTTATTGTGTGTGTGAGTATGGGGGGGGGGGGGTATACCGGTAGTTTTTAATAGCAGACAAATAATGGTGTTTGGTTTCTTTTACAAAGAAGGGTACGAACACTGTATCTAGTCACTCGTACTATTTTGGTAATCATTTTTACTATTTTTCGAAATCTATATTCTTTTACTTGGCCTAGCAGCTAGTTAGATCTAGATCTAATTAATTAAGGGTCGCCAAAAACATTTTTTTAAAATATTACATTTGACTTTTTAAATTTATATTTATATATTTTTTTTATTTTTAGATCTACTAATTTAAATCTACTATTATATTTATTCCTGTTTCCTATATAAAATTAAAACATTAATTTACTACAATCGACTTTCACTTTATTTATATTTCCATGATCAAATAAACCATGCTTTACCGTACTTTAGTTACCGAAACTCAACAAACATTACCCGATAATTTCCGCCGCTAAACTAAGGTTTTACTCAAATTTAGATCTATTAATTTAAATGTACTATTTATTTCTTTTTCCTGTGTTGATTAAATTAATTATATATTTAAGTTAAAACATTAAATTAGTACAATCGAATTTATTTATATTTCATTGTCAAATAAACCATGGCTTAATGTAACTTATATTTGCGAAACTCAACAAACATAACCATAACTAAGCTTATAATTATTTTACATCCATTCGTTATGAATTAACATTGAAAAATAAATCTTTTTTTAAGTCAACAATAAAGATCGGCGTCCCGTCAACTCAGTAAGTGCCCATTGATTTATTTATTCATTGTAAACAGCACAAATCGTGTTGGCAATAATAACGAAAACAAATCAAAGGTAAAGTGTTATGTTATGCTACTGCTACACCACAAGTCTAACATTAAGAACTTAAAACAATTTACTGTTTGTAGATTGTGGTTCTATAACTAACATTACCTGAGCTGAGGCTCCAATAGTGTTGAGGGGCGATTGTTGGAATATTTGCAATAAAATATGCTGGGGTAGATTGCCCCAATCTTGCTCAGCCATCGTAGATTATACGAATCTATACATCAACTTATTATATGACAGTTTATTTTTTTTTCAATGTATCTAACACTTTCGAAATATCATGCCCTTCGCGAATTGAATGACAAATTACGTGAATATCCGATTTCAATAGACACGAAACATTGGTGCGCAAAACAGTTGTATCTTGCTAGAAGGGTTGGATTTGTTGTCCAGATAAATGTGTCACTTTTGACCTTCTAAGTAAACAAGTTGCACAAACTGGCCCATGGTGTCGGCTCTTTACAGTCTAGTCTCTTGATTGGACGTCGTGTCACATCCATAGCGCATGGTATTTAGGGCATGTCTTTCACTATTCAGACATCGAGAATAACTGCCACAAATAAGAAGAAAATACATTCATGTATAAACTCATGCCTCAGAAAGATCCTTCAAATTCGGTGACCTTAAACCATCGGAAATAAAATAATTTGGCAATGGCCAAATCAACTGCCATCTGAAGAAAAGATACTTAAGAGTAAATGGAAATTTATTGGCCACACACTCAGGAAGCTTGCATTCAGAATAACAAGACAGGCCCTCACCTGGAATCCACAGGGCAAAAGGAAAGGAGGCAGACTGAGCAAGACCTGGAGAAGTGACCTGGAAGATGACACCAAGAAGATTGGATACGCCTGGGGACAGTTGGAGAGACTAGCCCAGGACAGAGACGCATGGAAAGTTCTTGTCAGCGGTCTATTTTTCTGGAGAGGCGTCAGGAAAACTTAACTAACCTAACCTATTTAGAGTTTTCCCTTTAGTTATCACGCGACATCCCCTTACACCTAGTTTATAGCTGTTACTCCAACAAAACATTGTACACAGGTTCGTTAACTTTCATATGATTTGTCCAGCAATCTTTTATACCCTGTATTGACCATTTTGTCCTGTAGAAAATTTTATCGTCCCTATGTCTCTATAGTGCACAACACTGTCCGGTGATTCCATCTTCTAGCAATTATGACGTCAAAAGACTTTTACTTGTCCCTGTTGTAACTATCACCTTTGTACCTATAATTGTAGCTTTATAATTTCCAACCACTCTAGGTACAAAATTATCAACACACAGGACCTACTCTAGGTCTAATTATAACATAGCTCTGCATTCCGTTATAACCATATACTCTGCCCCAATGTCGTAGGGGTGTTCCGTTTTTAAAATATCAAATTAAAATAATTATCATTTAAAAAGTTTTTAAAAACCCACGTTTTCTGATTGAACTATAAAGTAGAAAATAAATGCTATACATCACAATAATGCAAGAAATCACTCTACTATAAGCGATCGCAAACTGCGTGTGCATTATGACAAAAAATGAAAAACGTGGGGCGCCAAAGTAAATGTTTATTATCGGTCATTGTTAATATAAGATGTAAAAGTTATATTACTATTGATTACATAATATTATTGAGTTTTATTAGGGAGCTTGTAGAGAGTCAACAGTATTAAAAACTATAAGAAAATCACGGCGCCCCACGTTTTTCATTTTTTCGAATCGACGTTTCTTCTGTGTTGCCGTTTCTTTCACCATTTTGCCCTCGCGTGCAAACCATTCGACCATCAACATTCTACTTCCTGATCAGTCAGATTTGCATAGGTTCGTACACAAACACCACGTGACCACTACTCAGCCAATCGCGTGCTCGCTCCTTCAGTAAGCCAAAGAGGGAAAGTACCGAACCTTGTTTTATTAAATTACAATTACTAGGCTAAGTCCCTTTTTTTGTACAAATCAATAGGGGTCTAAAATGATCAATAAAATTTGTCCATGGATCAATTTAATAATAACTTTTCGATTTGAACCCCCCCCCCCCTCAAGATTTCGATTTGCCCCCCCCCCCCCCTCTTTCGATTTGCACCCCTCCCCCCCCCCCCCCGTCAAGATTTCGATTTGCACCCCCGACCTTTCAATTTATTTTTCCAACCCATTTTGGCGCCCCCTAAGGTCGGCGCCCGGGGACATATGTCGTCGTCCCCCCCCCCCCTCGCTACGCTACTGAATCAACACCCTGTGTGGACGTTTAAAAATAGTAAAGTAATTTTCTCAAGTTGTTTTTATAATGGACTAATCCAATAACACATGTGCGAGATACAAGACAGACAAATAGACAGAGGAAGCAAGTTAAATAAAAGCTGTAAAAATGAGACACAGGCTAATATGTCAGACATTTCTCATGTAAAATAAAATTCTACTTTAATATTGTACTACGTCCTTATGACTATTGTTATGTCTCTAATGCATCTTTGTCTATGTGCAATAAGACGTCCATATGTCATATAGTGTGGGCCAGCGCTACCTATATATCATGTTGTTTAGGGCATCTATGTCCAGATACAGCACTTTTGTAGGCACTTGAATACTACCTAGTTTACAGCTACTTGTGTTCCTTAGGGACCATTGACCATGTAGACGCTAGACGGAGTATGACATTTACTCCTGTGTGTAAGGATGACATCTTTCCCTCTGTGTGTGTCAATTCCCACCATTTAGATTAGTTGACATTGCAACTGTTTAGATTAGTTGACATTTTCCACATTTTAGATTTATTTGACGTCTCCCACTGTTAAAAGTAGTTGACATGTCCCACTGTTTAGATTAGTTGGCATTTCCCACTGTTTATATTAGTTGACATTTCCCACTGTTTATGTTAGTTGGCATTTCCCACTGTTTAGATTAGTTGACATTTCCTACTCTTTAGATTAGTTTACATTTCCCACTGTTTAGATTAGTTGAGATTTTCAATTGTTTAGATTAGTTGACAGTTCCAACTGTTTAGATTAGTTGACATTTCCAAGTGTTTAGATTAGATGACATTTCCAACTGTTTCGATAAGACGACATTTCCAACAGTTTCGATTAGTTGACATTTTCAACTCTTTATATTAGTTGACATTTCCAATGGTTTAGATTAGTTTGTCATTTCACCCTGCGGATGTCACGTTTCCTGGTCCGTGTTAGGTGGACTTGTGGGAGCGGATCTTTGACTTTCTCTGCTCATGGTGGGTGTCTTGTTATAATAATCATAAAGACACACATGTAGCACACACAGACACACAAAAACACAGATACACACAATACACACAACACACACGATGGGTCTTACTGTGGCCTTACCGCGCTCGTTTCTAAGTTTAATGTTTTCAATCTTTCACATAAACAAAAGAGAATTTTTGAGAGCGTGTTCAATAACAGTGCAATAGCAACTTTATTAAGATCATAAATGTTACATATCTAACAAAATTAACACGTTATTTCAGTCATAAATAATACTAACAAGACTGTAAGTTCACATGTATAACAATTTTGGTGTGAGTAATATAGCTAATAACATTGAAGTAATGAAAAATGTAACTTAAAGAGAACGTGTAACATATTTATATTTTTTTAAAAGATAACTTTTTTTACATAATATTTAATACTAATATAAAATATTTACATAACATACAAACAAATATGTTATCTATCCTGGTCATTGTGAACTGCATTAAAAATTTAAAACAATCTTTATTTTTCAATAGTAAAAAAAAAAAACAGTTAAAAAAATTGTATTACGTACAATCTTTATTTTTTAACAGAAAAAAGTGAAAAAATCTGTATGTGAAGGAGGTGAAACAATATTACCATAATTAAAACTGCACATCTCAAGAACTTAGGAGTGAAACACAGTTACGTCAAACATTATAAATATTTAAACTAGCTAATTCATCCATTGTATTCGTACCAACTTTGTAGAACTAATACATTTACTCATCTCTCGTTGGAAGGATGAACTTTAGCACCAAGCCACGATCCACAAATTCTTTCAAGTCTTCCTTAAGACTGTCCATTTCACGGAGTACTCCAGAATTGATCGTCCGCCTGCCGTGATACTTTATGGTGACATCCCTCAAATTGTTTTGATTTTTCACAATTTCTTTAAAAGACCTTAAAAACATGATCTGTGAAAAAGAGCACGACAAAAACAAAAAACAATCTGTGAAAACGATCATGATAAAAATGAAATCTTAATCTGTGATTAAAAAATTTTAGTCAAAGAGTATATATTTTTGAAATAATAATGATTTGCTTATACTCAGTGTCTTCCAGACGTTTTTCTCCGGGAGGCAGGGAGGGGGGGGGGGGGGGCTTGACATTTTCCGGGGGGGGGGGGGAGTTTGTACTAAAGTTTCCTGGGAGGGGTATACCCTGGTAAATGTAAATGTTTTCTGTATAAATTTCGTTTCTACTCCCGAGAGATGTCTGCAAGAAACTGCTTTTACTAGGTACATATACCGGATTTTAAGGTGGCATTGCAGCCATATCTAAATTGTAAAGTTTAACTAAAAAAATAATAGTGCGATATGGCATAAAACAGCTGCAAACGGAAATTGAATGGCGAGAAGTAACAATAAAACAAATGTAAAAAAAAAACTTTTAAAAGCATCAATCTTTTAAATGCACTGAAAATAAAAACTAATTTACTTTTTTTAAAATAAGGAAGCTTTTGTTGCTAAAATATGTAAAAGATCTGATGAGCGACCAAAGCTTTTATTAAAGAAAGCAAATTAGTTTTATTTTCTTATTTACTGTGCATTTAAAAAAATTGTTGATGTAAAGGTTTTTTTATATATGTTTTATTTTCTACATTTTCTACATCTATTTTTTTTGTTTGTGGCAAATCTTGTAACTCAATTTCTACCCACTTCTGATGGACATAAAATATATAAATTAAAAAAAAAATCTTAAGAACAACCTTAATTTTTATGAAAGAAAGAAGATTGGTTTTATTTTCAATGCCTTAAAAGCTTATTGCTGTAAGTTTGTTTTTAATATATATGTTTTAAAGTGATTCCTAATTTATGAAGTCGACTCGAATAAAAATATTTGCTTTAAAACACCATCAGCAGCTCGCAGTATCTGAAAGACGGTTATCTGTCCTGTGAATGCAGCAGTCCGATACCACAATTTACAGACTACAGCCAGCTGATCAAGCGAATGATAGATCTTAATATTGTTACCTCCCCTTAGTTGTAAATCGTTTAAAAACTATATTATCTGCTTCTAATAGCCTTCATTTATCCGACTCCGCTGTACGATTGTAAACATTCGACATGAACCACAGCTCACCAGACTAGTCCACTGATAGCGTCTAGCTAGTTATATCTTCTTTTTTTTTTACTTTCTTGTATATACAAAGTAGCCTATAGAGAAAGTCTTGTAATCGTGCAAAAAAAAAATCGAGATTTTTACAAATCTCGACGTTTTACACATCACTGATATTTTGCAATCTTGTCCGTATGTCTGTGTGTCTGTGTGTGTGCCTGTCTGTGAGTGTGTGTGTGTGTCTGTCTGTGAGTGTGTGTGTGTGTGTAAACACGATAACTTGAGTACCGTTACAGCTAGGTTGATGAAATTTCATTTATAAGTATTTTATCAAAATCGTGAATCCTGATCAACTTTTGAGCGATTTCCGATAACCGGAAAAGGTACTTTTTTCTACTTTGAATGTTTCAAAAGCCTATAACTTAAGTACTATTTCAGATAGATAAATGAAATTTCACATGAAAGTAAAAGATCTAATTCTCTACCTTCTATCACATTTTGAGTAATTTCCGTTGACCGGAAGTACTAATTTACGCTATTTCCGATTTCTCAAAAAAAACGCATGTAAATTTATTAAGTAATAATAATATTGCGCACTATTATGCACATTTTGTTTTGGCGTTCGCTTGGTGCGCAATTCTTTTTTCTATGAGATTCTATTCTATTTTTAAAATAAAAGTTTACGTAATTAAAAATCATGTTTATATTCCAAGTTATATAAGAAGACTCGAGAAATTTAGGGGAGATCACTCCCAGTTTATTTGTTATTGAATAAGGTAATCTATCGAGTGATCTTTAGAATTTAAATTTGTTTGTGCCACTATGGTTTTTTGAAAACGTTTATTTAATTTGTATGACTAATTAAACATCTAAATTAACAAATAGATTTTCATACATTGCCACCGAAGATGGAGGTATCTAGAAAATTTGAACGAAATCGCTGCCTTAGAATTTGGTCAAAATTGAGTTCCAAGATTTGCCACAACCCAAAAAACGGACGTTCTTCACTAGGTAAAGCTGGGAATTATACTTCTTGGTTTATTGATAAACGATTTTATGAATCAGACGAGTATTTTCACTGCTACATTTTGCTACAGCGATTGTATAAATTAGACTAGTATTTAGATAGTTACGTTTTGTTTTGTTTTTATGGTCATGGACATCGAAAACGTCCGTAATCTTTCAAAAGACTCCAGCTGTGCCAGAAATTCCTCTGTCAAATTTCCCTCCATTTTATAATGTCCAATGTGTAGCTCTTCCAGTGTGTGGCGGTACAGGGTGGCAATGTTGTCAAGGGAAAACTATAGAGAGACATTAATTTAAATATGTATACATCTTTTTCACTATCTATAAATAAACATTTTAAAAAAAAACATGATTAAAGAAATAAACAAAAAATAAATAAATAAACAGAAAAACAAAGAAACGAACAAAAAAAAAGAAACGAAAAAACGAAGAAACTAACTAACAAACAAATAAACGAACGAATAAATAAATCAGTTAATTAAGCTAATTAATTAATTAAAGAATAAATAAAGAGGGATTAATCGGATTAAATGTATGTTACGCTGTTGTCCCAAGATTGAAATTTTCATTGCGCGTTTTTGCTTTTCGCTGAAAGCAAGAATTTTACGCCATTTTACTTTTTCTTATAACGAGAAAGTATTGTAATCGTACACAAAAATCACATGAAATTTTGAAAGTTTTACCGTTTTACACCTATGGCCTTCATTACATCCGGAGTATCGAGGACTTATTCAATCAGACAAAAATTCTAAATCCAGAGCTATTAAAATCTAGGCGTTTCCTGCTTAATCGAGTCTGAAAAACTGGCCGTAGCCATTCTGTCCGTATGTCTCTGAGTGTATGTGTGTGTGTGTGTGTCTGTAAACACGATAACTTGAGTACCGTTACAGCTAGATTGATGAAATTTCATATATAAGTATAATATCAAATTTGTAGTTATGTAACGACTTTTCAGCGATTTCCGATAACCGGAAGTGGAACTTACTCTACTTTCACATTTTCAAAAGCCTATAACTTGAGTACTGTTTTATTATTATTATTACCTTCTCGTATACAGAGTATAGAGAAAATATTGTAATCGTGCACAAAAATCATATGACATTTTGACAGTTTTCACAGTTTTACACCTCAGTCCTTCATCACATCCGGAGTATAGAGGACTTTTTTTAATCAGAAAAAAATATAAATCCAGATTTATCAAAACTTTTGCGTTTTATGCGTAATAAAGTCGGAAAATCTGGACAATCCTATTCTATGCGTGTGTATGTGTGTGTGTGTGTGTGTGTGTGTGTGTGTGTGTGTGTGTGTGTGTGTGTAAGCACGATAACTTGTGTACCCGAACAGCTAGGTTGTCGAAATTTTATATATAAGTATTATATCAAATTTGTAGTTCTGTATCAACTTTCCAGCTATTTCAAACAATCGGAAGTGGAACTTATTCTACTTTCATTTTTTAAAGGCTATAACTTGAGTACTGTTTCAGATAGACAATGAAATTGCACATGTAAGTACAAGATCTAATTCTCTGCCTTCTATCCAATTTTTAGTCATTTCCGTCGATCGGAAATAATAATTTACGCTATTTCCGATTTCTAAAAAAAGACTTTTGAATTTATAAAGTACTAATAATATTCCGCACTACCATACTCATTTTGTTTGGCGTTCGCTTAGTGCGCAATCCTTTTTGCTACGAGGTTTTATTCTATTTTAAAAAGTTTAAGTAATTAAAAATGGAGTAAAAATCATGTCTATATCCCTAGTTGCCATCCCCGTAGTGTTATAAATTATTATGAATATTCGAGAACGTTTAGGGGAGATCACTCCCGGTTTATTTATAAAGTAATGAAGTAGTAAACCGGAGAAATACCAAAAAAATGTTACATATATATATATATATATATATATATATATATATATATATATATATATATATATATATATATATATATATGCCTGTGTGTGTATGAGTGTGTATGTGTGGTGTATGTGTGGTGTTTGTGTGCGTATGTGTGTGTGTGTGAGAGAGAGAGAGAGAGAGAGAGAGAGAGAGAAAAAATCCTTCAGTGTTAATCTCTGCTCACTATATCACTTACCTGATCCCCGGTCTTAGACTGGCCGTTGAACCGTACCGTAATGCTGACCAAAGGTATGTGTGGGGACAAAAGACCACAATCTATGTAGTTGGACACATTTAGTGACACCTTGACGTCAGGACAGGATTCTATAAGAGCCCTCCATGCCATTCCGCGTATGTTTCCTAATTTCATAACAAGATATATATGTATATATATATATATATATATATATATATATATATATATATATATATATATATATATATATATATATATATATATATATATATATATATATATATATATATATATATATTTATATATTTATATATTTATATATTTATATATTTATATATTTATATATTTATATATTTATATATTTATATATTTATATATTTATATATTTATATAATGTGTACATTTACTGAGGTGGATTGTAATGACTGACGAGAAGCCGCGTTGGTTGTTAACAGCCTTTATTATGTACAGACGCCATGATGCAAAGAGAGAGGAAGCAGGTGGCGAGAGAGAACTATTTATAGATAACAACATGTAAGGGACATCACTCAAGATAACAATATAAATATAATACTAATACAGAGAGTGAGTTCCCTTGACCTCACAATTAACTCAATCTATTACATCCCTTTACCCTTAGAACACAATAACACATCTCTCAATAGAACAATTGATAGTATCCTAAAATCACCAATTATATTGTAACATGAACACTATGGTAGATTACATCCTTACAAACAATGCACAATATGCTACAACATAATCAAAATACAAAACAATAATGTCAAAGTCCTTTTGACCTTTAGAATCATAGGTCTAACTTATTTGGGACCTTGATTGTCCTGCTTGACCTTCTCAGTGGCTTTTGATTTGGTGACTCAATATTCTGACCATCTGGGTTCTCTATCTCAGGAGGTCTAGGATTTAAATCATTAACTCCAGAATTTACATTTTCTGACTCCAGACAACTTGGTTCACTCATATCAACAGAACTTGGTTGTGGAACAAACTGAGTTGGTGTGAACTGATCAGATTTGGTGGGATTGACAGATTCACACTTATTATCTGCACAAGTTATTTTTAACTTTATAAGGCACAGGTCCTGTACATTGAACAATTTGACCTGGTATCCATTTTTCCCTTCTCCCATAGTTTCTTAGATACACATTCTCATTAACACCAAATTCTCTTTCAATGAATGTTTGTCATGATCTAATGGAACTATTTTTGAATTGGCATCTGAAAGTATTATGCTGTTATTCAGATCCTTGACTGACATAGATTTCTTTGATTGATCAATTTTCTCAGGTAATCTGATAGTGCTTTCCTGGTAACCAAAAATACTGTTTAAAGTAATATCCTGGACAATGTCACTTTGCAACTGTGATCCAGTATTTGAAGTGGGTGTATTAAATGGCAAAAATCCTTTTTCTTTTCTTTTGATGTTACCCTTTTAGTTTCTGTAAGTGCTAATGATGTTAGCAAAGTTGTTTGATGATCATATTCCTTCTTACTAATGTATTTTCTTTAAAGCATTTGAAATTGCCATATCACCATAATCATTTATTAAGTTACAAATACTTTGTTTAGGCAACTCTGACTGATAATGGACTGCATCTTCTCCATCTTTTATATTATTTTCACAAAGGTTTTTATTTCTTATTTAATATGGCCTTAAGTCATCATTCACAGACTCTTCAGGCCAACCATTCTTACAGTACTCATATACTTTTATTAAGCACTCATCTTTTTGTGTTTCTCTCTTAATATCATTCACATTTATATTGGAGTTATCCATGATAGTGAAGAGAACAAATACATCTTCTGGTACATAGCTCAGGCTTTGGTTTTTTAAAGGTAATCTACTAAGACTATCTGCACTATTCTCAGATCCAGGTTTGTATTTCAATTCATAATTGTATGCAGTTAGTGTGATAGCCCATCTTTGAATTCTTGGTGAGGCATGCTCAGGTAGGGTTTTGTTTTCTCCAAATAAACCTAGCAATGGTTTATGATCTGTAAAGATGGTGAACTTCCTACCAAACAGAAACTTATGAAATTTCTTAACACCAAAAATGATGCCTAAGCTTTCCCTATCTAACTGAGAATAATTTTTCTCAGCCTGGTTCAAAGATCTACTGGCAAAAGCAATGGGTCTGTCACCCTTCTCATCCATGTGGGACAAGACTGCTCCTACACCATCTGGTGAAGCATCACATGTTAATATAAGTCTTTTCCCTGGGTCATAGTGAGTTAGTAAGGTGTCAGCAGACAAAGCCTCTTTTGCTGTATTAAAAGCAGTATCTTGTTGTTTACCCCAGTGCCAAGTTGCATTTTTCTGTAGCAGCTTGTACAGTGGTGATAGTTTACCAGACAGATTCCCTATGAACTTTGCATAGTAATTTATCAAGCCCAAAAAAAGCTCTTAGTTGTTGGGTATTTTCAGGTTTGGGTGCTTCTTTAATGGCTTTTGTTTTCTCAGGTTGAGGCCTGATGCCTTGTTTGCTCAATATATAACCAAGAAAACTAATTTCTGTCAGCATGAATTGACATTTATCTTTGTTTATCTTTAAACCTTTTTCACCAACAATTTTCAAGACTTTATCTAGTGTTTTAAGATGTTCAGTGTCATTCTTACCAGTTATGTACACATTGTCAAAGTACACACAAACATTTGGAATATCCTTAAAAATACTGTCCATGACAGCTTGGAAAATTCCAGGGCTAGATGATATGCCAAAACATAGTCTTTCATATTGGTAGAGTCCTTTATGTGTGTTTATTGTCGTATAGACTTTTGAATCTGGATGCAGTTCTAGTTGAGTGTAAGCATGACTAAAGTCTAATTCAGTGAATTTGTCTCCTCCTGCCAAATTCAAAGAAATTTCCTCAATGTTAGGTATAGGGTACCTATTTAGCTCTATTTGCTTATTCAGTGTAGTTTTATAATCTCCACAAATTCTTATAGAACCATCCTTCTTTAACACTGGCACAATGGGTGTCGCCCAATCGGAATAGTCTACCTTCTTTATGATGCCATTAGATTCCAATCTACTTAGCTCATTTTCAATTTTATTCCTCATTGCATAAGGTGGAACTCTAGCTTTGCAGTATCTTGGATTTGTATCTTTAATGCTTAACTTCACTGTTCTATCATTTAGTAATCCAGAGTTACCAAAAACACTTTTATTTTCAGATATTACTTTATCTAGTGAAGTAAGACTAGATTCTTTTACATTCTTCAATGAACAAATACTCTCCCAATTTAACTTAAGATCACTTAACCAGTTCCTACCTAGTAATGGCGGTCCATTTCCTTCAACCACAAGAAGAGGAAGTTTAACACTTTGACCATTATAACTTACATGAACCATACACTCTCCTATTACCGGAACATTGTCACCAGTGTATGTTGTTAGACACTTGTGACATGGTTGTAGAGGCACTGATCCTCCTGTGACAGCGTCAAAATCTTTCTTTGTTATGACTGTTAGAGATGCTCCAGTGTCAAGTTGGAAGCTGATGCTCTTACCGTTGATATAAACTGGTACATTGATGGGAGCATGACTTATTGATTTCACAGAGAACAGGTTGAAATCCGGCTGCGAATCAGTTTGAGCATTTTCACAGGTAGAGTGGTTCATTGGTTGGGTTAGGTAGTCTTGGTGAGAGTTAACATAGTGCTGCCTTTGGTTGCGGTACTGTCTTGACTGGCTAGATTTAGCAACAGACGAAGACTTTGCAAAGCAGGCCTTGGCAATGTGACCTTGCTTACTGCACTTATAACAAGTTGCAGACTTGAACTTGCACCGATGAGATGCATGGGGACCTTTGCATCGATGACATTTTTGATAATTATTACTAGATTTAGATCTAGGATTTGAACGAGCAGGCTGTTTAGCATAAGTTGGAATGCTCTGATGGGGTTGATGTTTATTGACTAACCTGCTGTTTACTGCATGGATCCCTGAAGGCGTAAGAGATTTCGCCGCATCTGATGACTGCTGGAATAAAGTTGCAAGTTGTATTGCTTTTTCCAATTTTAGATCTGACTCGAGCAGCAACTTTCTTTGAATATCAGGGCTGTTTACACCTGTCACAAACTTTTCACATAGTCTGTCAGACAGCGTGTCGCCGAATTCACAAAATCTACTTAGATGACATAAAGCAGCAACATATTCTGATATTGACTCGTTTGGTTGACGAGTCCTACTGTCAAATCTAGCTCGACATAGAAACTTTGATGGGGTAGGCGCATGGTGGTCTGTTAGCAATTTGCTCAGCTCGTTAAAGCTCTTGGTAGTTAGACTAGCTGGTGCGCATAAGTCTTTTAGTAGCCTAAATTGTTGAGGCCCTATGACTGTTAACAAAACAGCTCTCTTTTTGGCTTCTATCGTCACGTTGTTAGCTTCTAGGTAAAAGCTTAACCTCTCTAGGTAATCTTGAATGATTTCATCATTCGCATCAAATTGATTTATTTGGCCATACAGCGCCATAATTCTAGAAATAATTAGCTAATAAGCTCTAGCAAACCTCTTTTTTGCGTAAGTAGGAGCTCTTTCTAGTGGATGTTTATCCTTCGTCGCCAAATGAGGTGGATTGTAATGACTGACGAGAAGCCGCGTTGGTTGTTAACAGCCTTTATTATGTACAGACGCCATGATGCAAAGAGAGAGGAAGCAGGTGGCGAGAGAGAACTATTTATAGATAACAACATGTAAGGGACATCACTCAAGATAACAATATAAATATAATACTAATACAGAGAGTGAGTTCCCTTGACCTCACAATTAACTCAATCTATTACATTTACATATGCGTATACGTATACGTTCTGTCTTGTTGTGATGTTCGATTCTTTTTGCATTAGCTTTCAATATTGGCAGTTTACCTTGCACGTGATAATTTTAGTCTGCTTTCAAACGGCTGTCTGTCTAAATATCCTTACTAGGGTACGATCTACAGCACAGACTATATGCCAAAGCTGTACTGCTATCTATGTCACGTACCCAGCAGTGTTTGTTGGATGAGTTATTTATAGAACATAGCGGTGTTATATTTAAATTTTTCGCCACACTGTTGGCATCAATGCCAAGTTTGGTCACACTGTTGGCATCAATGCCAAATTGGGCCAACATGTTGGCATCAATGCCAATTTGGGCCAATCCGATGACAGCAAGACCGAACCTGTTTGCATGATCTTTTTTAAAAAATAGGTTACGATATTAGTAATAATGTTAGGCCCTATTTATAGTACCTTACCTTCTAAGTAACTGACAGTTATAAAAAAATATTTGAAGTTTGTCCCCAGACTCTTTGATAGGTTTTGTAGTAGGGCTTCGCTGAGATACTCAATTGTTAGTGACTGAAGGTTTGTAAACTTCTGGATACAAAACACATCAAAAGTTTATAAATTGAGAAATGACATTTTAATCGTACGACCATAGTTACAGCTAGAGCAGTGAACTAGCTAGCAAAAACTCATTAGCCAAGAAAATTTTATTTCACACTGTCAATATCTAAGCATAAAATCAGTGGCCTTGCTTTATGCACTAGAGAGGGGAGATTCGTGTGTCTAATATTTAAAATCCCAAAATGCAAACAAAAACTCGATTTTATTTCTGAGGGTTAAGGTAACATATTGATATACTAATCCGATCATTGAATTCGTTTGAAGTTAATTTTTTATTTACGGGTTGAAAAGCTGGAGTTTTTTTTAGTTGATTCCTTAGTTAAATCAACATTAGCTTTTTTAAGTCTTAGATTAAATGCCCAAATTCCCCAAAATTTAATGCTTTAAGGGATCCAAAATTTGAAAATTCATAAGAAATAAGTTTGAAGATATTCACTTAAAAGTTTTTGACTGAGTACCACAAAATATGGTAAAAGATTATGAATTCATTGTTTATTGGACTTAAAATTGTAATATTTTATAAATGGTGGAAATCCTACAATCCATTGTTACCCAAAAAAATGTAATTTTTCGTCGAAAAGCATATTCGGATGTACCTTTTAGAAGCTGTAGAGAAACAAATAGTTTGCTCTCTTATATTAAAGATGTTTTTTTCCGGAGCCTACCTTCTTAGGCCAAGAAGAAAACATATTAATGTATAATAAAAACGTAAAATCCCTATATGGACATAAAAAATGAAATGACTCACTGTTAAGACGGTATCGAATGCATGAATCGGTAAGTCGTCGTAGTCGTAGTCGCTATAGGCATTGTGCAAACAAATTACTTTGATTTTCTCCGCTGAAGATTTGCTGAGATTTTCCAAGAACTTGGTTACGAACTTGTCTTCAAAGTTTGTATCGATCAGAGAAAAATCCTGTCGGACGATTTAAAAACAAACTCTTCATTGTGTATAATAGAAGCAATGCGAGACGGAAATTTAAAAAAAAAACGATGAAGAGTTGTATAGCTAGAAACACAAACACCTGTTATGTTTAATCTGATTGATCATAAAGTAGATGATATTTAAAAACAAACTCCCCAGAATTTTTTTGGGTACTTGTGATGACGTCACTTTAGGAAACAATTATAAATAGATTAAGGAAATTTAGGGTAGTTTTGTCATTGGTCAGTAGATAAGAATGAATCAAAAGACCATCAAGAAGCGAGATGACGCTTAAGCAGTAGATAGCGGCAGTCGGATAACTGAGGTAATAGTCAAAGAGTTAGAAGTTTGATGTCTAGGATTGATGTTAAAGTTGAATAGATTTTAGTTAAGTAGCGTCGGAATATATTCGTGATAGAGATAGTTGCGTTGATTTGTAAACGAAAAAACCAAATAACTTATAGAGAAACAGCAAGTCATAAGGGAAAATAAAATTAAGGTGTAGGTTCCGTCTACATCTCTACGGCTACATCTACATCTACAGATACACCTGTGTCCGTATCGGTGACTGTTCGTGTATCTATATCCTGATCTATATTTATATTTTTACCGATATTTTCTTCTTCTTCGTTCTTTTTAAATGTGAGAAAATGTAATGCGCCTATCGAGATGATAAAAAGGAGATACGACAATGATTCAACACTTGCCTCCATGTTTTTCTGCTGCTTCAGAAATGTGTTCATAAAGGAAGCAAACCTACTCATTGCTGTGTTGGTCGGCCCGTCCGGGTATAGCCCCTGCAGCTCTAACACTCGGAGTTCGGATCTCCATAAAATCTTCAACACGTCCTGAAGAATCTTCAGAGTGTCGTCCATCACATTGCTACAAATTGAGCACTCAATTCTCAGTTCCATTACGTTTTCTGCACATCTTTTTGCCAGTGCAATAGATCTTCGAGCTATATCAGTAGATTAAGAATATATATATATATATATATATATATATATATATATATATATATATATATATATATATATATATATATATATATATATATATATGTACATATGTCTATGCACATACATGCATATATATGTAAATGTATATTATGCAAACACGTGCACATAATATTACACGTACACGTACAAATACACATCAATTATATAAATTAGATATTTCATTATGCCTCGTGTGTTGATTTGTAAAAAAAAAATCAAATTTTTATCTCTTTATGTCTCTAACCGGTATCTTCTAGTTTTCTGTCGTCCAGAACCAGTTTTATGGACCGCCATAGTGATGCGCTTTTTGTTGCTGAGTTCCAATAATTGCACACCTTAAAGATAATAAAGGCATTTAACAACCTGCATTACCCACATATGTAGCAACCAGTCTAACCCTCACATGTGGCAACCTGCCTAACCCACACAAGCGACATGTAGCAACCAACCTAACCCATACATTAAGCAACCAGCCTAACTCACACATGTAGCAACCAACCTAACCCATACATTAAGCAACCAGCCTAACTCACACATGTAGCAACCAGCCTAACTCACACATGTAGCAACCAGCCTAACCCAGACAAGCGACATGTAGCAACCAGCCTAACTCACACATGTAGCAACCAGCCTAACCCACACAAGCGACATGTAGCAACCAACCTAACCCACACATGTAGCAACTAGCCTAACCCACACATGTAGCAACCAGCCTAACCCACACATGTAGCAACCAGCCTAAACCACACATGTAGCAACCAGCCTAAACCACACATGTAGCAACCAGCCTAAACCACACATGTAGCAACCAGCCTAACCCACACAAGCGACATGTAGCAACCAACCTAACCCACACATGTAGCAACCAGCCTAACCCACACATGTAGCAACTAGCCTAACCCACACATGTAGCAACCAGCCTAAACCACACATGTAGCAACCAGCCTAAACCACACATGTAGCAACCAGCCTAAACCACACATGTAGCAACCAGCCTAAACCACACATGTAGCAACCAGCCTAAACCACACATGTAGCAACCAGCCTAACCCACACATGTAGCAACTAGCCTAACCCACACATGTAGCAACCAGCCTAAACCACACATGTAGCAACCAGCCTAAACCACACATGTAGCAACCAGCCTAACCCACACATGTAGCAACTAGCCTAACCCACACATGTAGCAACCAGCCTAAACCACACATGTAGCAACCAACCTAACCCACACATGTAGCAACCAGCCTAACCCACACATGTAGCAACCAGCCTAACCCACACATGTAGCAACCAGCCTAACCCACACATGTAGCAACCAGCCTAACCCACACAAGCGACATGTAGCAACCACCCTAACCCACACATGTAGCAACCAGCCTAACCCACACATGTAGCAACCAGCCTAAACCACACATGTAGCAACCAGCCTAACCCACACATGTAGCAACCAGCCTAACCCACACAAGCGACATGTAGCAACCAGCCTAACTCACACATGTAGCAACCAGCCTAACTCACACATGTAGCAACCAGCCTAACCCACACATGTAGCAACCAGCCTAACCCACACATGTAGCAACCAGCCTAACCCACACATGTAGCAACCAGCCTAACCCACACAAGCGACATGTAGCAACCAGCCTAACTCACACATGTAGCAACCAGCCTAACTCACACATGTAGCAACCAGCCTAACCCACACATGTAGCAACCAGCCTAACCCACACATGTAGCAACCAGTCTAATCCACACATGTAGCAACCAGCCTAACCCACACATGTAGCAACCAGCCTAACCCACACATGTAGCAACCAGCCTAACCCACACATGTAGCAACCAGCCTAACCCACACATGTAGCAACCAGCCTAACCCACACATGTAGCAACCAGCCTAACCCACACATGTAGTAACCAGCCTAACCCACATATGTAGCAACCAGCCTAACCCACATATGTAGCAACCAGCCTAACCCACACATGTAGCAACCAGCCTAACCCACACATGTAGCAACCAGCCTAACCCACACATGTAGTAACCAGCCTAACCCACATATGTAGCAACCAGCCTAACCCACATATGTAGCAACCAGCCTAACCCACACATGTAGCAACCAGCCTAACCCACACATGTAGCAACCAGCCTAACCCGCACATGTAGCAACCAACCTAACCCACACATGTAGTAACCAGCCTAACCCACACATGTAGTAACCAGCCTAACCCACATATGTAGCAACCAGCCTAACCCACACATGTAGCAACCAGCCTAACCCACACATGTAGCAACCAGCCTAACCCACACATGTAGTAACCAGCCTAACCCACATATGTAGCAACCAGCCTAACCCACATATGTAGCAACCAGCCTAACCCACATATGTAGCAACCAGCCTAACCCACATATGTGACAATTACAGATCCTTTGCGAGAGTTGTGCGGACTGCACCGGATGACACTAAGGAAAAAAGTGCAAAAATTAAAAAGATTAATGTGTTTAACCAGTTAAATATACGATTAACTAAATTTAATTAGCCTGTTCAGTAAAAATTCACAATCTCGACAAGGGTGGGTGTATGTGTGTGGGGTGTGTGTATATATGTGTGTGTGGGGGGGGGGTGGAGGTGACATCTTATCGTAAACTTCAATGGAGACATATGTTTTAGTAACCGACTAAAAATTAAGATTGTTACTACTAAATTCTCTAAACGGGCACCGATTAAAGCATTCACCCGTGGTAAACACCAGTTACAAACTTTAAGTTTTGAAGCAATTCATTTTGGTTCTTTAATTTGGATTTCTGCATGGATATAGTTTAAATTTGTAGTAATTGGCTTAAAATGTAGTATGTGCCGACCCGTAAAAAGTAAAAAGCTTCTAGCGGACGTTCGAAAAATCTCTATGGTCGCTATAGAACTCATTTTTCTATTCATTAAAAAATTCTTGAATGCTCCATTAACATTTTAAAATGATTCTCAAAATGGTCATCCCCCCCCCCCCCCCAGTATAGCGACGGATATTATCCCGAATGAATAGCACTTAAAAAACAGTAAAACAATGGCGTAGTCTGTCACTCTGTTTCGGAGTCCACAAGAAGTTTTGTAAACCATACTTTTTTTTAGTATATAACGTTGTTTTTTCCATGTTGAATACAATTTTACTGTGTATGTTAATTATGTTTATGTTTCATTTATCTATCTGAATCAGTACTCAAGTTATAGGCTTTTGAAAAAGGAAAAGTCCGGTTATTGGAAAAAATTATACAGAACTACACACATACATACACACAGAGACATAGGGACAAAATTACAAAAGTATGTTTTTTCCGACTCATTGGCATGTAAAACGTTGAATTTGTGAAAATCTCGATTTCGATTTTTGCTCGATTACAATACTTCCGCTATACTTCGTATGCGAGAAAGTAACAGTAAACTAATTATTACATTTGAATTTGTAATTTAAATTTAGATCTACTAATTTAAATCTACTATTTATTTCTTTTTACTTATGTCAATTAACATTTAAAATTAAGTAAAAACATTGATTTAGTACAATCGAATGTATTTATATTACACCATTCAAATAAACCATGCTTTACAGTAACTAATGTATGCGAAACCCAACAAACATAACTAGATAATCTCCAACGCTATACTGGAGGATTACTCTTAAAATATTACATTTTTGTGCTTACTTAAGCTTATAATTATTTTACATCCATTCGTTATGAATTAACATTGACAAAAAATTTTTTTTTTCATGTCAACAATAAAGATGGCAGGCGTCCCGTCAACTCAGTTAGTGTCCATTGATTTATCCAAACATTGTCAACAGCACAAGCCTTGTCGAAAATAACGACAACAAATCAAAGGTAAAGTGTTGTTATGCTACTACTCTACACTACCATTCTAACATTAACAAACAATATTCTAGATCTATCAATGGAGAATCTTTCCGTAATGTTGTTGACATGGAATAAAAAATATGCTTTTTTTTATATTTAGGACCGTAATTTATGGTGGGCTATCAAATTGCAAGAAGCCATTGTCTATGTCGCCATTACGCGTGAAAACCAAATTGTTTTTGCTTTTTTATTTTTTTTTATTTAGTTACCGAAAATATTAAAAACATCAAATACATCCAATCATTAGTAAAGTCCAAAAAAACTAGACAGACAATATTTTATAACCATATTAACTGTAACTACGCCGAGCATGATTTTTAAATTAATTTATGGGCCTCTCAAATACCTTTGAGACTTGTCGCTGGCGTCCATTTACAATCTAAATTTTGGTTCTTTAACTAAAATTACCTGAGCCGATGCTCCAATAGTGTCGAGAGATGATAACCTAAAAATTTCCAATAAAACATTCTCTGGTAAATTGCCCCAACAACGAGCAGCCATCATGAATATATATAGATCTAGATCTAGAACTATATAATATTAGTGGTAAACACTTATTATAGGACCTTGTTTATTTTCTCTTAACGTATCAAACACTTTCGAAAAACCATGCCCTTCGCGAATTGAATGAAAAACTAGATCTACGTGAATATCCGATTATAATAGAAGAGAAACATTGGTGCGCAAAGCAGTTTTATCTTGTTAGAAGGGTTGGTTTTGTTATCCAGATAAATGTGTCAATTTTGACCATATAAGTCAACAAGTTGCACAAACTGGTCCATGATGACTGCTCTTTATAGTCAGACTGCTTGATTTAAGGTCATGTAATGTAGCATGTCATGAGGTCACATGTCACATACATAGCGCATGGTATTTAGGGCATGTCTTTCACTATTCAGACGTCAAGAATAACTGTCACACATAAGAAGAAAATACAATCATTTATAAACTCGCGCCTCAGAAAGATCCTTCGAATTCGCTCGCCTAAAACCATCGGAATCGATGTTCTATTGCAAGGGACAAATCTACTGCCAGCTGAAGTAGAGATCCTCCACAGAAAATGGAAATGGATTGGCCACACACTCAGAAAGCCTGTATCCAGCATAACAAGACAGGCCCTCACCTGGAATCCACAGGTCAGGAGGAGAAGAGGCGGACCAAGAAAGACCTGGAGACGTGACCTGGAAGAAGACACCAAGAAGATTGGAAACACTATTTAGAGATTCTCTTTCGTTGGCACGCGACTTCCCCTTGCACCCAGTTTATAGCTGTTACTTACTCCAACTAAACATTGTACACAGGTCCGTGAACTCTCATATGATTTGTCCAGCAATCTTGTTACCATCTATTGACCATTTTGTCCTGTATGACACTTTATCGTCCGTGTGTCTCTATAGTGCAAAAAAATTATCCGAGGATGCATCTTCTATCAAAAATCTTTTACCTGTCACTGTTGTACTTATAACTGTAGTACCTATAACTGTTGTACCTATAACAGTTGTACTCATCACTGTTGTACCTATGACTGTTGCACCTAAGACTGTTGTATCTATCACTGTTGTACCTATCACAGTTGTACCTATGGCAGTTGTACATATGACAGTATCTATCGAATATATACCTGCTTCGTGTGTGATAAGTATGGATGTAACACATTTTACAACGATGATTCATTATTTTAAACAGATAATTATATTATAACAAAATTGTAAGTTTATACATTGCAAACGATTACAATACTTCCTCTTTACTCCGTAAAAGAGAGAGTGAAACGAACCCTTTCTACTTTCTCGTATATACAAAATATAGAGAAAGTCTTGTAATCTTGCAAAAAAATATAATAAACCGGGAGTGATCTCCTCTAAACTTTCTCGGATATTCTTGTATAACACTACGGGGGATGGCAACTCAGGACATAGACAATATTTTTAATCCATTTTTTAATTACTTAAACTTTTTAAAATAGAATAGAATCTCGTAGAAAAAAAAGAATTGCACACCAATTCAAAAGCTGATACGGATCTACGATTTTGATATACTTATATATAAAATTTCATCAACTTAGCTTTAACGGTACTCAAGTTATCGTGTTTACAGACACACAGAAACACATACACAGAAATCCGTACAAGATTGCAAAACTATGTTTTTCCTACCCAGTGAGTGAAAAACTTCGAGATTTGAAAAAAATATCTATTTCTGTTTTGCACGATTAAAAGACTTTTTCTATACTTCGTATATACGAGAAAGTAAAAACAACTCACAACAACCGAATTCTGAAAAACAAAAACGAAAGCAAGTACAAGTTTTAGGCCTATTCATTTTAAGGACAAACAGCAACATGGGCCAACTCTATCAATCATTGAAAAAAAGTAGGCCCTTATGTTATTAAAAACAATAAAGCCAACTGCATGAAAAATGTAAAAACACATACATCTACGGCCGTTCTCTCGTACTTAACCCCATTCAAAGGGTAATTATGTTACAGCACCTCTATTTTAATATGCAGTACAGAGTTACATGCACATTTTACTAGGCGTTCACTTATTTAAAATTATAGTGAACAGTGAAATACATGTCCTAAATACCATGCGCTATGGATGTGACATGTGACTTCATGACATGCTACACTATATGAGGTCAAATATAGTGACTTGACTGTAAAGAGCAGACACCAAGGGCCAGTTTGTACAACTTGTTGACTTAGAATGTAAAAATGACACATTTATCTGGATAACAAAACCAACTCTTCTAACAAGAAAAAACTGTTTTACGCACCAAAGTTTCGCGTCTATTGTAATCGGATATTCACGTAATGTGTCATTCAATTCGTGAAGGGCCTGATATTTCGAAAGTGTTAGATACGTTGAAAGAAAATAAACAAGTTGTCTTTAAAAAGCTGTGTGATAGATTTCATTTACAGACATGATGGCTGATGGTTGGAAAAATCTACCACATCATATTTTGTTGCAAATATTTCAACAATCTTCTATCGACACTATTGGTACCTCAGCTCAGGTAATGTTAGTTATACACAGTAAATTATTATATTTTGTTATTATTAGGCTTGTGGTGTAAAGTAGTAGCATAACATAACACTTTACCTTTGATTTGTTTTCGTTGTTATTGTCGACAAGATTTGGGCTGTTTACAATGATTGCATTAACCCATATTATCCCAGAGTCTCAAATTTTTATAATTTTTTATATGGTTTAGCATTTGGGCACTGAATGAAGGTAAGGCTATAGATTTTTTTTTAAATCAATACTTTTTGAAATTTCGATATTTTAAAAAACGTCACATAAATGGGACGCTAGCAACGAACGGTCCCATGTAAATATATTGCCAAAAAAATTAAAAATCACGAAATATGGTTAATCACGCGAAAGTTAAGCGGTATGCTGAGTTTGTATTGTTAGACCAATGATTACATTGTTTAGGACAGCTAAAAATACAAAAACTATTCAATTGGGTTAGCCATACCATGGTCTAGAATGCAGAAATTATGTTAAAATGTCTAGTTTTTTTATTTAATCTTGTATCCATCAAAGTGAATAACACTTAGAAATAAGTAAAGCTGTGATTAGTACATCTAATTATGCACACGAGATCACAAATAGTGTTATTATTTAACAAAAATGTAATATAACTAAATATAAATAATTGATTTTTTGGCCTAAGTGTGTTTACTAAGTCATGATATATATATATATATATATATATATATATATATATATATATATATATATATATATATATATATATAATGTTGCTAAACCTTTTGTAATGAGGATCATTACAATAGAAACATTTTTTTTACACATCGGCAGCCCCTTCTTTTGAGAAAAGAAGTGAGGAGTTGACAATTGTCCACAAAGTGTGTCTACTGAATGTAATCTGTCATTTTTAATTTCATGTCTGATGGTATATGGCTTTGCAAAACACCAGACCTAAGTTGTAATTCTTGTATATACATCTACAATCAGGCAATTGAAACCTATTATATCAAATGTTTTTAGACTTTTAGATAATTACATTGTGTAGAGCAGCTATCCTATCCTCCTCTACACCTATCGGGTGGTCGTTAAATTACCATGGTTGCCTCTTCCCCAACGCCTTGCCATCCGCCTAGTCCGCTGATGCGGGGGTGGGGGGGGGGTGAGGAGCATGGAAGAAACTGTGCCCACAGTGAATTTGCAAAAGACGGTCCAGTCGCAGATGTCATCCAGCCATATTCTCTTTTGTTACCCTCTCGATCTCCCCCCCCCCCTCACCAACAGGCATACATCTCTAGCGGCATTTATTGAGTGTTCATGGCTTTCATCCGTGTATGCACTTCACTATTCGAACAGTTCCCAATCTAGCACCACAATCCCCTTACAAAGCCTTGTAAAAGTTAACAACGTAAGACTGGTATGGGGAACCTTGGAGGGGAACATTATTGGGGCATGACAACAGTACACAGCTAATTCACATTTTTGCTATATGTAACTTGAGCTCCCTTATATGAAGAGAGTTGATGAGTAATACCATATGTTCTGTTGTTAACCAACCCCCATGACTAAATCTTTTCACCTAAATCGTGACCATTGTTATTATTCTGGTTTGCTATAATTTTTATATCACGTGATGGTAAATTGACAGCAATACTAAATTAGTTTGTGTTCAATGGTATTACATTCTCAAGTTAGATTAATTCTGAAAACTTAAAAATAAAATGTAAGTTTTTCCAAAATAATTTTTAAAAAATTTTTATACAATAATATATAAGTAAATATAGGTCAAGGTCATAACTAAATATCTATAAACACTATTTAACACTCCAAAGTCAATAGTTAACAAAGTCAACCATTATTTCACCATAAATAACCATAACAAACATTTGCTTCTATGTTTCTCGCTAGAGTCCAATAAATGTGACGTTTGTGTAACAATCTACATGGGGCCATTCGTTGCTAGCGTCCCACTTGTTGTACCCTTGATATAACAAAGTAGTTCAAAAAATGTGTTACTCTTACATTTTTATAAGATAGAAATATGGTACTGCTACAAGTTTCAAATTTATTTTGCACTTAAAATGATACTATTTTAGAAGATATGCATATTCCTGTGCGCATGTTTTCTGTTTTCCGCCATTTTGACAAGTCTTGCAAACCCGGTGCTATAACATCTTTCTAATTTAACTTTTTTCACTAAACACATACAAATTCAATAGTCTAACCATTTTCAAACACAATGAAACATAATTTGTGTTTTACCTAGTTTTTAACAAATTTTAGCAATTTTTTTTACAAGCGTCCCATCAGTGGGACACTAGGTTAATCAATGGACACTGAGTTGACGCAAAGTCTTCCATTGTTGACGTGAAAAAAAAATCTTTTGTTAATGTTGTTCATAACGAATGGTTGTAAAATAATTATAAGCTGAAGCACAAAAAATGTAATATTTTAAGGGTATTATCCGGTATATCGTTGGAGATTATCTGGTTATGTTTGTTAAACGTCGTAAACATTAGTTACTGTAAAGCAGGGTTTATTTGAATGGTGTAATATAAATACATTCGATTGTACTAAAGTAATGTTTTTACTTAATTTTAAGTTTAATCGACATAAGTAAAAAGAAGTAGATTTAAATTAGTAGATCTAAATTTAAATAATAAAGTCAAGTGTAATAATTAGTTTACTGTTATTTTTTCGTATATGAAGTATAGAGGAAGTATTGTAATCGTGCAAAAAATTAAATCTCGACGTTTTACATGTCCTGAGTCGGAAAAACATAGTTTTGCAATTTTGACCGTATGTCTCTGTGTGTAGGAATGTGTGAAATTCTGTATCTATTTTTCCGATAACCGGACTTTTTGTTTTTCAGAAGCATATAACTTGAGTACTGTTTCAAATAGATAAAAAACCTAAACATAATTTACATACAAAAATAAGTAAAATAGTATTTAACAAGAAAAAAACCGTATGTACTTAAAAAAGGATGGTTTACAAAACTTCTTTTGGCGCATACTAAATTTTTAGGCCAATTATTACCAATTTAACCTATATCCTTGCAAAAAAAAATTAAGAACCAAACTGATAGAGGGCATGAATGAATTGCTTCAGAACGTAAACTTTGTAGTTGGTGTCTACCTCTCCGCATAGGTGATAGTTTTAATCTGTGCACATTTAATAGTAACAATTTTTATTTATAGTCGGTTACTAAAACAATTGTCTCCGAAGAAGTTTACGTTAAGATGTCACCTCCAACCCCCCCCCCCCCCCCCACTCACACACCCTACACACCCTTGTCGATATTGTCAATTTGTACTTAATATTATGCTAATTAGATTTAGTTAATCGTATATTTAACTGGTTAAAAGCATTAATCTTTTTGATTTTTGCACTTTTTTCCTTGGTGTCACCCGGTGCAGTGTGTTGCTACATGAGTGGGTTGGTTGGTTGCTACAAGTGTGGGTTAGGTTGGTTGCTACATGTGTGGGTTAGGTTGGTTGCTACATGTGTGGGGTAGGCTGGTTGCTACATGTGTGGGTTAGGCTGGTTGCTACATGTGTGGGTTAGGCTGGTTGCTACATGTGTGGGTTAGGCTGGTTGCTACATGTGTGGGTTAGGCTGGTTGCTACATGTGTGAGTTAGGCTGGTTGCTACATGTGTGGGTTAGGCTGGTTGCTACATGTGTGGGTTAGAGTGGTTGCTACATGTGTGGGTTAGGCTGGTTGCTACATGTGTGGGTTAGGCTGGTTGCTACATGTGTGGGTTAGAGTGGTTGCTACATGTGTGGGTTAGGCTGGTTGCTACATGTGTGGGTTAGGCTGGTTGCTACATGTGTGGGTTAGGCTGGTTGCTACATGTGTGAGTTAGGCTGGTTGCTACATGTGTGAGTTAGGCTGGTTGCTACATGTGTGGGTTAGGCTGGTTGCTACATGTGTGGGTTAGGCTGGTTGCTACATGTGTGGGTTAGAGTGGTTGCTACATGTGTGGGTTAGGCTGGTTGCTACATGTGTGGGTTAGGCTGGTTGCTACATGTGTGGGTTAGGCTGGTTGCTACATGTGTGAGTTAGGCTGGTTGCTACATGTGTGGGTTAGGCTGGTTGCTACATGTGTGGGTTAGGCTGGTTGCTACATGTGTGGGTTAGAGTGGTTGCTACATGTGTGGGTTAGGCTGGTTGCTACATGTGTGGGTTAGGCTGGTTGCTACATGTGTGGGTTAGGCTGGTTGCTACATGTGTGGGTTAGGCTGGTTGCTACATGTGTGGGTTAGAGTGGTTGCTACATGTGTGGGTTAGGCTGGTTGCTACATGTGTGGGTTAGGCTGGTTGCTACATGTCACATGTGTGGGGTAGGCTGGTTGCTACATGTGTGGGTTAGGCTGGTTGCTACATGTGTGGGTTAGAGTGGTTGCTACATGTGTGGGTTAGGCTGGTTGCTACATGTGTTGGTTGGCCTGGTTGCTACATGTAAGGTTGGCCTGGTTGCTGCATGTGTGGGTTGGCCTGGTTGCTGCATGTGTGGGTTGGCCTGGTTGCTGCGTGTGTGGGTTGGCCTGGTTGCTACATGTGTGGGTTAGGCTGGTTGCTACATGTGTGAGTTAGACTGGTTGCTACATGTGTGAGTTAGGCTGGTTGCTACATGTGTGGGTTAGGCTGGTTGCTACATGTGTGGGTTAGGCTGGTTGCTACATGTCGCTTGTGTGGGTTAGGCTGGTTGCTACATGTGTGGGTTAGGCTGGTTGCTACATGTGTGGGTTAGGCTGGTTGCTACATGTGTGGGTTAGAGTGGTTGCTACATGTGTGGGTTAGGCTGGTTGCTACATGTGTGGGTTAGAGTGGTTGCTACATGTGTGGGTTAGGCTGGTTGCTACATGTGTGGGTTAGGCTGGTTGCTACATGTCACATGTGTGGGGTAGGCTGGTTGCTACATGTGTGGGTTAGGCTGGTTGCTACATGTGTGGGTTAGAGTGGTTGCTACATGTGTGGGTTAGGCTGGTTGCTACATGTGTGGGTTAGGCTGGTTGCTACATGTCGCTTGTGTGGGTTAGGCTGGTTGCTACATGTGTGGGTTAGGCTGGTTGCTACATGTGTGGGTTAGGCTGGTTGCTACATGTGTGGGTTAGGCTGGTTGCTACATGTGTGAGTTAGGCTGGTTGCTACATGTGTGGGTAATGCAGGTCGCTAAATGCCTTTATTATCTTTAAGGTGTGCCATTCTTGGAACTCAGCAACTCAAGACCCATTACTGTGGCGGTCCATGAAACTATTCCTGGACGACAGAAAACTAGAAGAATCAGGTTAGAAATCTAAATAGATTTTTTTTAAAATATAGATTTTGAATTTTTTTTTTACAAATCAACATTCGAGTCATAATGAAATATCTCATTTATGTAAATGATGTGTATTTGTACGTGTACTTGTACTAGTATTATATGTATATATATATATATATATATATATATATATATATATATTCTTAACCTACTGATATAGCTCGGAGATGTAAAGGATTAGCAACAAAATGCAGAGATGATGTGACGGAACTCAGAGTTGAGTGCTTTGTTAGTGGCGAGGAGATGAACGACTATCTGAAGACACTGGAGGACATCTTGAAGATTTTATGGAGATCCAAACTCCGAGTGTTGGAGCTGCAGGGGCTTTACCCGGACAGCCCGACTAGCACAGCAATGAGGAGGTTTGCTTCTTTTATGAACAAATTTCTCAAGGAGCAGAAAAATCTGGAGGCAAGTGTTGAATCATTGTCGTATCTCCTTTTTATCATCTCGATAGGCGCATTACATTTTCTCAACCGTAAAAAAAGACGAAGAAGAAGAAAATATCAGTATATATATATATATATATATATATATATATATATATATATATATATATATATATATATATATATATATATATATATATATATATATATATATAAATCTAGATATAGATACACGAACAGACACCGATACGGACACATGTGTAGCTGTAGATGTAGATGTAGTCGTAGAGATGTAGACGGAATTATATTTATATATATATATATATATATATATATATATATATATATATATATATATATATATATATCATATATATATATATATATGTATTGTAGTGAGAGGATATATATATATATATATATATATATATATATATATATATATATATATATATATATATATATATATATTTAAAGGGGAATCGTTTGAGATTTCATTAAAAGCCTGATGCTTTCTTCAATATATACACACATGCCGTATTATAACATTGATATTTTATGTATTATATAGACTTATACTAAAGCCTCAACCTACACCTTAATTTTATTTTCTCCTATGACTTGCTGTATCTGTATAAGTTATTTGGCTTTTCTTTTACAAATCAACGCAACTATCTCTATCACGAATATATTCCGACACGACTTAACTAAAATTTATTCAACTTTAACATCGATCCTAGACATCAAACTTTAACTCTTTGACTATTACCTCAGTTATCCGACTGCCGCTATCTACTGCTTAAGCGTCATCTCGCTTCTTGATGGTCTTTTGATTCATTCTTATCTACTGACCTTTGACAAATCTACCCTAAATTCTTCCCTTAATCTATTTATAATTGTTTCCTAAAGTGACGTCATCACAAGTACCCAAAACATTTTGGGGAGTTTATTTTTAAAATTTATCTACTTTATGATCAATCACATTAGACATAACAGGTGTTCGTGTTTCTACCTATACAAAACTTCATCGTTGTTTTGTTTCAATTTCTGTCTCGCATTGCTTCTATTATACAAAATGGAGAGTTTGTTTTTAAATCGTCCAACAGAATTTTTCACTGAAAGATACAAACTTTGAAGACAAGTTCGTAACCAAATTCTTGGAAATTCTAGGCAAATCTTCAGGGGAGAAAATCAAAGTAATTTGTTTGATTAATTCCTATAACAACTACGACTACGACGACTTACCTTATGGACCGATTCATGCATTCGATACCGTCTTAACAGTGAGTCATTTCATTTTTTTATGTCCATATAGGGATTTTACGTTTTTATAATACATCAATATGTTTTCTTCTTGGCTGAAGGGGGTAGGCTCCGGTACAAAAAAACTTCTTTAATACTAGAGAGCAAACAATGTTTTCTCTACAGCTTTTCAAAGGTACATCCGAATATGCATTTTGACTTTAAAAAAAGGTAAATTTTTTGGGTAACTATGAAACGGCGGCGATCTTGAAAATTAACCTCTTTGTAGGCTTTCCACCATTCATAAAATATTACATTTTAAGTCCAATAATCAATGAATTCATAATTTTCTACTATATTTTGTGGTACTCAGCTAAACATTTTAAGTGCATATCTTCAAACTTATTTCTTATGAATTTTAAAATTTAGGAACCGGTAAAACACTAAATTTTAAGGAATTTTGGGGAATTTTGGGGCATTAAATCTAGTTTATTTTAAAGACTTAAAGCAGCTGTTGTTGATTTAACTATGGAATCAGCTAAACACTAGTCTGCAGCTTTTCAACCCGTAAAGAGGAAATTAACTTCAAACTTATCAAAGGTCGGATTAGTATATTAGTATATTAGTATGTTGCCGTAATCGTCAGAAATAATGTCGAATTTGTTTTCATTTTATGATTTTAAATATTAGACACACGAATCTCCCCTCTCTAGTGCATAAAGCAAGGCTAATGATTTCAAGCGTAGATATTGACATTGTCACATTGTGACCATCTAGATTGACCGTTAAAATCAAATCTTCTCGGCTAATGAGTTTTTGCTAGCTAGTTCCCTGATCTATCTGTAACTATGGTCGTACGATTAAAATGTCATTTCTAAATTTATAAACTTTTTATGTGTTTTGTATCCAGAAGTTTACAAACCTTCAATCACTAACAATTGAGTATCTCAGCGAAGAATTACTACAAAACCTATCAAAGAGTCTGGGGACAAACTTCAAATATTTTTTTATAACTGTCAGTTACTTAGAAGGTAAGGAACTATGAATAAGGCCTAACATTATTACTAATATCGTAACCTATTTTTTAAAAAGATCATGCAAACAGGTTCGGTCCTGATGTCATCGGATTGGCCCAAATTGGCATTGATGCCAACAGTGTGGCCAAACTTGGCATTGATGCCAACAGTGTGGCCAAACTTGGCATTGATGCCAACATGTTGGCCCAACTCGGCCCTGTTGCCAACATGTTGGCCCAAATCGGCATTGATGCCAACATGTTGGCCCAACTTGGCATTGATGCCAACAGAATGGCCCAACTCGGCCTATATATAAAATTTTTAATAAAGCACAGATATGTTCTATAAATAACTCATCCAACAAACACTGTGTTGCACGTGACATAGATAGCAGTATAGCTTTGGACTATAGTCTGTGCTGTAAATAGCATTCTAATAGGGATACGTAGACAGACAGACGTCTTAATAAAGCTGACTAAAATTATCACGTGCAAGGTAAAGTGTGTAAAAACTGAAAGCTAAAACAAAAAGAATCGAACCATCACATCAAGACAGAACGTATATGTATACATGTACGTAAATGTATTCATTATATATATATATATATATATATATATATATATATATATATATATATATATATATAGCCCTATATATATATAGCCCTATATATATATAGCCCTATATATATATGTATATATATATATATATATATATATATATATATATATATATATATATATATATATATATATATATATATATATATATATCTTTTTATGAAATTAGAATCCATAAGCGGAATGGCATGGAGGGCTCTTAAAGAATCATGTCCTGATCTGATGGTGTCTCTAAATGTGTCAAACCGCATAGATTGTGTCCTTTTGTCCCCACACATACCTTTAATCAGCATTACAGTAGGGATCAACGTCCAGTATGGGCCCGGGGGTCAGGTAAGTGTTGTTACACACTGAGCAGAGATTAACAGCTGGAGGATTTTTTTCTCCCTCTCTCTCTCTCCCTCTCTCTCTCTCTCTCTCTCTCTCTCTCTCTCTGTATATATATATATATATATATATATATATATATATATATATATATATATATATATATATATATATATATATATATATATATGTAGGGGTGGTCCCCTTAGGCAAAAATTCCAGGGGGTCACGTAGGTCTTTCTGTGCGTTCGCCAACTGGTAGACTAATCTCTAGAAAAGAAATTAAAAACTAATATTTATAAGAATATCTGAAATTTGGCTTTACTAACATCACAGCCATGAGTGTATGAAACCTTCAAAACAAAACATCAGTTTGAGAAGAGTCATTCGGAACACACCAAAAAAGATATGTAGTTCTTTCGTCGGCATGAAGCTAGTTGCAAACGTCAGAGACTTGGTCGAACAGAACGTTTTCACAAGAAAACACAGCATTAAATGCAAGCATCATATGGAGCCGCATTAGAAATTGCCAAGCAAAAAAAAAAAAAATACAATAGGAAAAAGTTTCCTCAAACCCTGCATGTTGAATATGATGAAAATAATTCTTGGAGATTCCAGTGCAGTAAAGATGCAACAAATATCTTTGTCTAATAATATCCCCGTAGATGTTAGAGAACAAATTTTGAATAAAACCAAGCTTTCACTATTGTTCGTTTTCAAGTTGATGAACCATCAAACATTAGTTATTGTTCGCAGTTGCTTGTCTTTGTGAAACATATTCCTTCAGATAATAGTAAGGAAGTGTTGGTATTTTGTGAAGATATCATGGAGAAAATAAATACGTTTTTGAAAATGGATTATTAAAATGGGAAAACGGCTTTAGGGTTTGTATGGGTCATGTGCCATCTATGTTTGTGTCAAAGAGGCTCTTTCAGAAAACGGTAAAAGATTTAGCTCCCTAACAAAGTGGGTTCCACTGCATGATTCACAGGTATGCCCTCGCCAGCAAGACTTCCGACTCCATTGCTAATAAAAGTCGTAAATTATATTAAATCTGGAGCCCTCAACACCCGTCTGTTTAAAGAACTGTGCAAAGACATGAATGAAGACCACGCGGTTCTGGTTTGTTTTCTACATTGACGCTAGCTGTCAAAAGGAAAGTGAATCGTGTTTTAAATTGAAAGATGAAATCGAGTTGTTCTTGGAAGTGCAAGGGAAACAAGACTTTTTGAGATACTTTAACGACACAGAGTGGTTCGAGAGAGTGTCATACCTAGCAGATATTTTCGAACATCGACATAAGCTTAACCTGAAGCTTCATGGAAAATGAACGAACATTATCTCTTTTCGTGATAATCTCGGGGCATTTTTATCTTAAATCTTGGAAATAGTGCCGTTTTTAGCAGCTCTGCAGTGTGGTAGATGAATCTGATTGTGAGATCAATAAAAATTTGAAAGAGGATTCTGGTCATCATGAATCTCTTGAAAACGAACTGCGGTTTTTTTTCCCTGAGCTGAAAGAAGAAGAATATGCATTGACGCGTTACCCATTCTCTGCTTCCCTAGATGTTACCAACATTCCATATGAATTACAAGACGAATTCTTAAATTCGCCGAATGATTTCGCGTCAGGTGAAAAACTGTTCACACAATTTTGAAGTAGTATGCACCATTCATACCCAAACTTGAAATTGATTGCCTTTCAAGTTTTAGTTTCTTTTATGTCTACATATCTATGAGAGAATAGATTTTCAACACTTCTCCAATTAAAAACAAAACAAAGAAATACATTAAATGTTGAGTATGACATGAGGTTGGCGTTAACAAAAGCTCAACCGCGACTGTGGAGGCTAGTTAATAACATTGTTTTGGTATTTCTCCATTTTACAACTTCCATTACTTCAAAACAAGGCGTAAAATTCAGTCTTTCAGTCAGAAAAAAACGCTCAATTAAAATTTCAATCTTGGGGCAGTGACTCAGCAACCAAGTAACCCGATCAATCCCGCTTTATTTTTTTTCTTTAATTAATTAATTAATTAATTAGTAAGTTAACTTATTTATTTATTTATTCGTTTGTTCATCTCTTTGTTAGTTCGTTCGTTGTTTTTTTTTTCGTTTCGTTTCGTTCGTTCGTTCGTTCGTTTGCTTATTTATTTATTTATTGTTTATTTATTTAATCATTTATTTAATTTTATTTGTTTAGTTACAGAGAGAGAAAAAGATGTATACATATTTAAATTAATGTCTCTCTATAGTTTTCCCTTGACAACATCGCCACCCTGTACCACCACACACTGGAAGAGCTCCACATTGGACATCATTTAGAGCGGGATTTAACTGAGGAATTTCTGGCACCGCTGGAAACTTTTCAAAAATTACGGACGTTTTCGATGTCCATGACCATAAGAACAGAAAAAAATGTAACTATCAAAATACTAGTCTAATTTATAGAAATGCTTTAGCAAAATGTAATTGTGAAAATACTTGTCTGATTCATAGAATCGTTTTTACCAATTGTAATTATCTAAATACTAGTCTAATTTATAGAAATGCTTTAGCAAAATGTAACTGTGAAAATACTTGTCTGATTCATATAATCGCTTTTCAATAAACTTAGAAAACTTAGTTCACAACGTCCGTTTTTTTGGTAAATATTGTCGCTCAGTTTTGAACTTCTAACTAAGGCAGCCATTTCGTTCCAATTTTCTATTTACCTTCATCTTTGATGGCAATGCATGAAAATCTATTTGTTAACAAACAAACAGATGTTGCGAACTTTTAAAAAAAAGCTTATTAAAAAAGTCGAAAATAAAACAAATATAAAAAAACCCTTATATCAACAATCTTTTAAATGCACTGAAAATAAGAAAATAAAACTAATTTGCTTTCTTTAATACAATCTTTGGTCGCTCGTGAGATCTTTTACATATTTTAGCAACAAAAGCTTCTTTATTAAAGAAAGTAAATCAGGCTTGATGCATTAAAGTTTTTTTTAATATTTGTTTTATTGATACTTCTGGCCATTCAATTACCGATTGCAGTTGTTTCATGCGATATCGCCCTATCACTTTAAAATTTAGATATGGCTTCAATGCCACAGTAAAATGATTAAAATTCTATATACGTGCCTAGTATAAGCAGTTTCTTTTAGGAATCTCTTCGAGGGATAGAAAATCTACCCCCCCCCCCCGTAAGAAATTGAATTATATAGAAAACAATAACATTTACCAGTGTCCCCCCCCCTCCCCCGGAGAAAAAAGTCTGGAAGAAACACTGAGTATAAATAAGCGTATCCTTATTATTTCATCAATGTATAATCTTTGATTACAATTTTTTTTGTCGTGTTTGTTTTCACAGATTACGTTTTTATTTTTATCATTTTTGTTTTCACATATAACAGTTTTTATCGTTAATGTCGTGTTTTTTTTCACAGATTCAGTTTTTAAGGGCTTTTAAGGAAATAGTCAAAAGACAAAACACTTTAAGGGATGTAAGGTTTATGTTTCGTCACCGGCGAACGATCAGTGCTCGACTGCTCCAAGAAATAGACAGTGTTAAGGAGGACTTGAAAGAATTTGTGGATCGTGGCTTGGTGCTAAAGCTCATCCTTGCAACGAAACACGAAGAGATGGGTCAGTTTTTCGATGTTGATACAAATACAATCTCACATGGATGAATTCGCCAGTTTGAATATTTCTGATGTATGATCTAACTGTGCAAATAGTGTTTCACTCCTAAGTTCTTGAGGAGCTATGTAATTATGGTAATATTGTTTAACATTTTTCGCAAACAATTTTTTTCAACTGTTTTTTTTTAACTGCTGAAAAATAGAGAATGTTTTCAACTTGTCTTTACAGTTCTTAAACAAATGTAAAAACAGACTTAGCTCTTAGCTATCAGTTTTAAATTATCTGTATTTTAAATTGAAGCAGTTGAAAAATAAATGTTCACAAATAATGTTAACGAATGTCCATTAAAAACGAATAGAGAAAAACTATTGCATGCAATGACCAGGCTATATAACATATATTGCTTGTATATTATGTAAATATTTTGGGGTTACACGTTCTTATTAAAGATTATTAAACAGTTTAATTTTTTTAACTTATGTATGAACATTTGTATAATGTATGAGTTGTTTAACTGGCTTGAAAACCCTTTTTTATTTGTATTAAATATTAAGTAGGCCTAATTAAAAAGAAAAATTATCCTTTTTAAATAACAATAGAAATATGTTACACGTTCTGTTTTAACTACTTTTTTCATTAATTCAATGTTCTTAGCTATATTACTCACATTAAAATTGTTATACATGTGAACTTACAGTATTGTTAGTATTATTTACGATGTCGTTCAATATGTAACATTTATGATATTCATAACGTTGCTATTCCACTGTTATTTAACTAGCTCTCAAAAATGCTTTTTATTTATGTGAATAATTGAAACCATCAAACTTAGAAACTAATCGATACAGTGGGAAATGCCAAACTAAATTAAACAGTGGGAAATGTCAAACTAATCGATACAGTGGGAAATGCCAAACTAAATGAAACAGTGGGAAATGTCAAACTAATCGATACAGTGGGGAATGCCAAACTAATCGATACAGTGGGAAATGCTAAACTAAATTAAACAGTGGGAAATGTCAAACTAATCGATACAGTGGGAAATGCCAAACTAAATGAAACAGTGGGAAATGTCAAACTAATCGATACAGTGGGAAATGCCAAACTAATCGATACAGTGGGAAATGCTAAACTAAATTAAACAGTGGGAAATGTCAAACTAATCGATACAGTGGGAAATGCTAAACTAATCGATTCAGTGGGAAATGCCAAACTAATCGATACAGTGGGAAATGCTAAACTAATCGATTCAGTGGGAAATGCCAAACTAAATTAAACAGTGGGAAATGTCAAACTAATCGATACAGTGGGAAATGCCAAACTGATTGATTCATTGGGAAATGCCAAACTATATTAAACAGTGGGAAATGCCAAACTAATCGATTCAGTGGGAAATGCCAAACTAAATTAAACAGTGGGAAATGTCAAACTAATCGATACAGTGGGAAATGCTAAACTAAATGAAACAGTGGGAAATGTCAAACTAATCGATACAGTGGGAAATGCTAAACTAATCGATTCAGTGGGAAATGCCAAACTAAATTAAACAGTGGGAAATGTCAAACTAATCGATACAGTGGGAAATGCCAAACTGATTGATTCATTGGGAAATGCCAAACTATATTAAACAGTGGGAAATGCCAAACTAATCGATTCAGTGGGAAATGCCAAACTAAATTAAACAGTGGGAAATGTCAAACTAATCGATACAGTGGGAAATGCCAAACTAAATGAAACAGTGGGAAATGTCAAACTAATCGATACAGTGGGAAATGCCAAACTAAATTAAACAGTGGGAAATGTCAAACTAATCGATACAGTGGGAAATGTCAAACTAATCGATACAGTGGGAAATGCCAAACTAAATTAAACAGTGGGAAATGTCAAACTAATCGATACAGTGGGAAATGCTAAACTAAATGAAACAGTGGGAAATGTCAAACTAATCGATACAGTGGGAAATGCTAAACTAATCGATTCAGTGGGAAATGCCAAACTAAATTAAACAGTGGGAAATGTCAAACTAATCGATACAGTGGGAAATGCCAAACTGATTGATTCATTGGGAAATGCCAAACTAATCGATACAGTGGGAAATGCTAAACTAATCGATACAGTGGGAAATGCCAAACTAAATTAAACAGTAGACAATTGTAAAATAATCGATACAGTTGGAAATATCAAACTAGTCTAAACAGTGGAAATGTCAAAAAATCGAAACAGTGGCGAAATGTCAACTAATTTTATCCGCAGGAATTGTCACACAGAGGGAAAGATGTCATCCTTACACACGGGAGCAAATGTCATACTCCGTCTACATGGTCAATTGTCCCTAAGGAACACAAGTAGCTGTAAACTAGGTAGTATTCAAGTTCCTACAAAAGTGCTGCATCTGGACAGAGATACTCTAAACAACATGATGTATATGCGTATTATTGGACATGGATAAAGATGCCTTAAAGACATACAAATAGTCATAAGAACGTAGTAAAATATTAACGTAGATTTTTATTTTACATCGGAAATGTCTGACGTATTAGCCTGGCATTTTTACAGCTTTTATTTAGCTTGCTATCTCTGTCTGTCGTCATTCTGTCTATCTGTCGTCATAGATCAAAACGCCCGAGCGAAATTTATGGCACTTTTAAACTGACAGATTCGTTTCAAAGTTGGCACGTGGGTCAATACTTGGAGAAAATGCAATATGACATTAAATTTTTCTTAAATTAGTAGGTAGAGTTATCCAATTATTACGCAATAGTATACGCGCGTTATCATGTTCATTTGGTGCGCAATAGTTTTTAGTCATGCAACTCAATTGTTTTAGAAAATTTAAAGTACTTAAAAAATGCATAAAAATGTTTTAATAACAAGCTTTTATGTAATGCACTAAAAAGGACAAAATAAATGATTTTCCTTAAATGTATTATAATACTCTACTATTTAAATAACGATAAATACTAAATATTAGTAAAAGTATTTAGTATCTAATACATATTATAGCGAACCAAGCTTTCCTTCATAGTTATTTAAATAGTAGAGTATTATAAAATATATGTACGGCAGTTCGTCGTTTAGTGGAAAACCTATGGTCTCGAGTCCGGGCTTTCAACTCGAGATATTTCAGTTATCAATCGCGCGGCATACCGCTTGACCACGTCCATCCGCTAGCTTTGCAAATGCTCTCATCTAACGGAACAGATAAACTAAAACATAAATAAATATACAAACGTGTAAACAAACTCGAGTTTTAGAAAATACAGCCCAAGTTTTTGTAGAATATAGATAGTTTTTAGCAGAACATATTGTTCTATCTTTTTTTGCAAGTACCAGTAGTTTCACATATATTTTTTCCACGGGTTCCCGCAACCAGTGGGGAGAAGGACAAGCCTGGTGAGAAACGACGGTCGATAGTGGACGACATGCAATGATCAAACCGTTTCTTCGGAAACTTTTTCTTCCGTTTCCTATGGCCAGTTAGCCGGAGTTTGTTGCGTCGGGGCCTGCCCAACGGGTAGAAGAATCCTCCTGAGCCGGTAATGTCCGTCTCACGAGAGTTAACATGGACTATCACCCACCCCACCCCAGGGTAGCGAATATGGACTATCACCCACCTCACCCCAGGGTAGCGAATATGGACTATCACTCGCCCCAGTGTAGCGAATATGGACTATCACCCACCTCACCCCAGGGTAGCGAATATGGACTATCACCCACCTCACCCCAGGGTAGCGAATATGGACTATCACCCACCTCACCCCAGGGTAGCGAATATGGACTATCACCCACCTCACCCCAGGGTAGCGAATATGGAATATCACCCCCCCACCTCACCCCAGGGTAGCGAATATGGACTATCACCCACCTCACCCCAGGGTAGCGAATATGGACTATCACTCGCCCCAGTGTAGCGAATATGGACTATCACCCACCTCACCCCAGGGTAGCGAATATGGACTATCACCTCACCCCAGGATAGCGAATATGGACTATCACCCACCTCACCCCAGGATAGCGAATATGGACTATCACTCACCCCACCCCAGGGTAGCGAATATGGAATATCACCACCCCCCTCACCCCAGGGTAGCGGATATGAACTATCACCCACCCCAGGGTAGCGAATATGGACTATCACCCACCTCACCCCAGTGTAGCGAATATGGACTATCACTCACCCCATCCCAGGGTAGCGAATATGGACTATCACCCACCTCACCCCAGGGTAGCGAATATGAACTATCACCCACCTCACCCCAGGGTAGCGAATATGAACTATCACCCACCCTCGGGTAGCGAATATGGAATATCACCCCCCCCCCCTCACCTCAGGGTAGCGAATATGGACTATCACCACCTCACCCTAGGGTAGCGAATATGAACTATCACCCACCCTCGGGTAGCGAATATGGACTATCACCCACCTCACCCCAGGGTAGCGAATATGGACTATCACCACCTCACCCTAGGGTAGCGAATATGAACTATCACCCACCCTCGGGTAGCGAATATGGAATATCACCCACCTCACCCCAGGGTAGCGAATATGGAATATCACCCCCCCCTCACCTCAGGGTAGCGAATATGGACTATCACCCACCCCAGGGTAGCGAATATGGACTATCACACACCTCACCCCAGGATAGCGAATATGGACTATCACCCACCTCACCCCAGGGTAGCGAATATGGACTATCACCCCCACCCACCCCAGGGTAGCGAATATGGACTATCACCCACCCCAGGGTAGCGAATATGGACTATCATTCACCCCAGGGTAGCGAATATGGACTATCATTCACCCCAGGGTAGCGAATATGGACTATCACTCACCTCACCCCAGGATAGCGAATATGGAATATCACACACCTCACCCCAGGGTAGCGAATATGGACTATCACCCACCCCACCCCAGGGTAGCGAATATGGACTATCACCCACCTCACCCCAGGGTAGCGAATATGGACTATCACTCGCCCCAGTGTAGCGAATATGGACTATCACCCACCTCACCCCAGGGTAGCGAATATGGACTATCACCCACCTCACCCCAGGGTAGCGAATATGGACTATCACCCACCTCACCCCAGGGTAGCGAATATGGACTATCACCCACCCCACCCCAGGGTAGCGAATATGGACTATCACCCACCTCACCCCAGGGTAGCGAATATGGACTATCACTCGCCCCAGTGTAGCGAATATGGACTATCACCCACCTCACCCCAGGGTAGCGAATATGGACTATCACCCACCTCACCCCAGGGTAGCGAATATGGACTATCACCCACCTCACCCCAGGGTAGCGAATATGGACTATCACCCACCTCACCCCAGGGTAGCGAATATGGAATATCACCCCCCCACCTCACCCCAGGGTAGCGAATATGGACTATCACCCACCTCACCCCAGGGTAGCGAATATGGACTATCACTCGCCCCAGTGTAGCGAATATGGACTATCACCCACCTCACCCCAGGGTAGCGAATATGGACTATCACCTCACCCCAGGATAGCGAATATGGACTATCACCCACCTCACCCCAGGATAGCGAATATGGACTATCACTCACCCCACCCCAGGGTAGCGAATATGGAATATCACCACCCCCCTCACCCCAGGGTAGCGGATATGAACTATCACCCACCCC